TTTGTTCGGCCGTATCGAGGGGGCTAAACGGGCGCGGCACGGGCTAGAGAAGAGATGGAGTGATGTGGTACAGGAGGACGTGGAGCTGAGTGGACTTGCCGATGACTGGTACCAGCAGTGTCAAGATCGGCCTCTTTGGAGGAGGAGGCTCGTGAAGGACGCTACTGGGCAGTTGGAGGTAGTCGCCCTCCAACAACAACGGAGGGCGGAGGAGCGACGCTCACAACAACGAGCGGAGCGCCGGGTAGCTAAAGCACAGCAGGTTGGCACAGTAGGGGGCACAGGTGGTGCATCAGCCAGTCATCTCAGTCAGTCGACCCGTGGCACCTGCTGGGTCTGCCCCGTGACCTCCTGCCAGCGGGCGTTCGACACTCCACGTGGCCTCAAGGTGCACATGGCCTGGCACAAGCGTCGTGGTGACGTCACCGCCACTTAGTGGCGAATGGCGGTTGCTGTTGTGTGTGTGTCTATGTGTGTGTGTGTCTACACGTGTGTGTGTGTGTGTCTACACGTGTGTGTGTGTGTGTCTCTAAACGTGTGTGTGTGTCTACACGTGTGTGTGTGTGTGTGTCTAAACGTGTGTGTGTGTCTACACGTGTGTGTGTGTCTACACGTGTGTGTGTTCAGGTGTGCGTGTGTGTGTGTCTACACGTGTGTGTGTGTCTACACGTGTGTGTGTGTGTGTTCAGGTGTGTGTGTGTCTACACGTGTGTGTGTGTGTCTACACGTGTGTGTGTCTACACGTGTGTGTGTGTCTACACGTGTGTGTGTGTGTCTACACGTGTGTGTGTCCACACGTGTGTGTGTGTGTCTACACGTGTGTGTGTGTGTCTACACGTGTGTGTGTGTCTCTAAACGTGTGTGTGTCTACACGTGTGTGTGTGTGTCTAAACGTGTGTGTGTGTGTCTACACGTGTGTGTGTGTGTCTACACGTGTGTGTGTGTGTTCAGGTGTGCGTGTGTGTGTGTCTACACGTGTGTGTGTGTCTACACGTGTGTGTGTGTGTTCAGGTGTGTGTGTGTCTACACGTGTGTGTGTGTGTGTGTCTACACGTGTGTGTGTGTCTACACGTGTGTGTGTGTGTCTACACGTGTGTGTGTGTGTGTGTGTCTACACGTGTGTGTGTGTGTCTACACGTGTGTGTGTGTGTGTACACGTGTGTGTGTGTGTGTCTACACGTGTGTGTGTGTGTCTACACGTGTGTCTACACGTGTGTGTGTGTCTACACGTGTGTCTACACGTGTGTGTGTATACACGTGTGTGTGTACACGTGTGTGTGTACACGTGTGTGTGTGTGTACATGTGTGTGTGTGTCTACACGTGTGTGTGTGTGTGTCTACACGTGTGTGTGTGTGTCTACACGTGTGTGTGTGTGTACACGTGTGTGTGTGTCTACACGTGTGTGTGTGTGTGTGTATACACGTGTGTGTGTATACACGTGTGTGTATACACGTGTGTGTGTACACGTGTGTGTGTACACGTGTGTGTGTGTGTGTCTACACGTGTGTGTGTGTGTACATGTGTGTGTGTCTACACGTGTGTGTGTGTGTGTCTACACGTGTGTCTACACGTGTGTCTACACGTGTGTGTGTGTACACGTGTGTGTGTGTGTGTACACGTATGTGTGTGTACACCTGTGTGTGTCTACACGTGTGTGTGTGTGTCTACACGTGTGTGTGTGTGTCTACACGTGTGTTTGTTACGTATGTACACGTGTGTGTGTGTCTACACGTGTGTCTACACGTGTGTGTGTATACACGTGTGTGTGTACACGTGTGTGTGTACACGTGTGTGTGTACACGTGTGTGTGTGTGTACATGTGTGTGTGTGTCTACACGTGTGTGTGTGTGTGTCTACACGTGTGTGTGTGTGTCTACACGTGTGTGTGTGTGTGTCTACACGTGTGTGTGTGTCTACACGTGTGTGTGTGTGTGTATACACGTGTGTGTGTATACACGTGTGTGTGTATACACGTGTGTGTGTACACGTGTGTGTGTACACGTGTGTGTGTGTGTCTACACGTGTGTGTGTGTGTACATGTGTGTGTGTCTACACGTGTGTGTGTGTGTCTACACGTGTGTCTACACGTGTGTGTCTACACGTGTGTGTGTGTACACGTGTGTGTGTGTACACGTGTGTGTGTGTACACGTATGTGTGTGTACACGTGTGTGTGTGTGTGTACACGTATGTGTGTGTGTACACCTGTGTGTGTCTACACGTGTGTGTGTGCACGTGTGTGTGTGTGTCACGTGACGATCTGAACTGGTCTCGGGACTCCTCACACACTCATCCCCCCTAGGCCGACTCAGCCTCAAACGAGTCACTCGTGAGTAAGCCGCGCGTCGTTTAAACATCGCCACTGAGTGTCTGGGGGAGGGGGGAGGGAGAGACAAAGGCGGCCGGGATCGGGGAGGGTCCTGGCCACCCCCCCCCCCCCGTCGTGTGCCATCAGTGGCGACCTTCAGGAGCCACCCCCGCTCGCGATCAGCACTTGCCCCTGCAGCCTGTTCGAGGCTACTCGGGGGCCCTTTGTCACTACTTTTGTGATTCTCGTGCCACCGATTGAGGCCCCACCCTCCGCCTCCCCCCCCCCCCCTCTCTCTCTGTGGGGGGGGGGGGGTCAGCTGTCTGGCTGCCTGTATAAGGCTGTGGTCAGCTGTCTGGCTGCCTGTGTACGGCTGTGGTGAGCTGTCTGGCTGTGTAAGGCTGTGGTCAGCTGTCTGTCTGTGTAAGGCTGTGGTCAGCTGTCTGGCTGTGTAAGGCTGTGATCAGCTGTCTGCCTGTGGTTAGCTGTCTGCCTGTGGTCAGCTGTCTTGCTGTGTATGGCTGTGATCACCTGTCTGCCTGTGGTTAGCTGTCTGCCTGTGGACAGCTGTCTGCCTGTGTAAGGCTGTCTGCCTGTGGTCAGCTGTCTGCCTGTGTAAGGCTGTCTGCCTGTGGTCAGCTGTCTGGCTGTGTAAGGCTGTGTTCATCTGTCTTGCTGTGTATGGCTGTGGTCAGCTGTTTGCCTGTGTAAGGCTGTCTGCCTGTGGTCAGCTGTCTTGCTGTGTATGGCTGTGGTCAGGCTGTCTGCCTGTGTAAGGCTGTCTGCCTGTGGTCACCTGTCTGGCTGTGTAAGGCTGTGTTCATCTGTCTGGCTGTGTTCATCTGTCTGGCTGTGTTCATCATCTGTCTGGCTGTGTTCATCTGTCTGGCTGTGTTCAGCTGTCTGGCTGTGTGGCTTTGAGCGGCTGTGTCTGCTGTGTGTCTCTGGTTGTGTGTGTGATTGGCGGTGTGTGTGTGGCTCTGACTGTTTGTGTCTGGCTGTGTGTGTGTGTTACTGTGTGTGTGTGTGTCCCTGACTGTGTGTGCGACTATGTGTGTGACTGTGCGTGTGTGTGTGACTGTGTGTGACTGTGTGTGACTGTGTATGTGTGTGGCTGTGTGTGTGTGTGGCTGTGTGTGTGTGACTGTGTTTGTGTAGCTGTGTGTGTGTGGCTGTGTGTGTGTGGCTGTGTGTGTGATTGTGTGTGTATCTGGCTGTGTGTATCTGTGTGTCTGTGTGTGTCTGTGTGTGTGTGGCTATGTGTGTGTGACTGTGTGTCTGTGTGTGTGTCTGTGTGTATCTGGCTGTGTGTGTGTGGCTGCGTGTGTGATTGTATGTGTGGCTATGTCTGTGTATTTGTGGCTGTGTGTGTGTGACTGTGTGTGTCTGTGTGTGTGTGTGGCTGTGTGTGTGTGGCTGTGTGTGTGTGGCTGTGTGTGTGTGACTTTGTGTGTATCTGGCTGTGTGTGTGTGTGGCTGCGTGTGTGTGTCTGTGTGTGTGACTGTGTGTCTGTGTGTATCTGGTTGTGTGCGTGTGTGTGTGGCTGTGTGTGTGTGGCTGCGTGTGTGTGTCTGTGTGTGTGACTGTGGGTCTGTGTGTGTGTCTGTGTGTAGCTGGCTGTGTGTGTGTGGCTGAGTGCGTGTGGCTGTGTGTGTGTGACTGTGTGTGTGTGACTGTGTGTCTGTGTGTATCTGGCTGTGTGTGTGTGTGGCTGCGTGTGTGTGGCTGTGTGTGTGTGACTGTGTGTGTGTGACTGTGTGTCTGTGTGTGTCTGTGTGTATCTGGCTGTGTGTGGGTGTGGCTGCGTGTGTGTGACTGTGTGTGTGGCTGTGTCTGTGTGTGTGTGGCTGTGTGTATCTGGCTGTCTGCCTGTGTAAGGTTGTCTGCCTTTGGTCACCTGTCTGGCTGTGTAAGGCTGTGGTCAGGCTGTCTAGCTGCCTGTATGTGGCTGTGGTCAGGCTGTCTGTCTGTATAAGGCTGTGTTTATCTGTCTGGCTGTGTTAATCTGCCTGGCTGTGTTCAGCTGTCTGGCTGTGTGGCTTTGAGCAGCTGTGTCTGCTGTGTGTCTCTGGTTGTGTGTGTGATTGGCTGTGTGTGTGTCTCTCTGACTGTGTGTGTCTGGCTGTGTGTGACTGTGTGTGTGTGTGTCCCTGACTGTGTGTGTGTGTGTGTGACTGTGTGTGTGACTGTGCGTGTGTGTGTGTGTGACTGTGTGTGTGACTGTGTGTGTGTGGCTGTGTGTGTGTGACTGTGTGTGTGTGACTGTGTGTGTGTGGCTGTGTGTGTGTGTGGCTGTGTGTGTGACTGTGTGTGTGGCTGTGTGTGTGACTGTGTGTGTGTCTGTGTGTGTGTGTGCGTGTCTGTGTGCGTGTCTGTGTGCGTGGCTGCGTGTGTGTGGCTGTGTGTGTGAGTGTGTGTGTTTGACTGTGTGTGTGTGGCTGTGTGTGTGACTGTGTGTCTGTGACTGTGTGTGTGTCTGTGTGTGTGCGTGTCTGTGTACGTGGCTGTGTGTGTGTGTGGCTGTGTGTGGCTTCGTGTGTCTGTGTGTGTCTGTGTGTGTGACTGTCTGTGTGTGTGTGTCTGCGTGTGTGTGTCTGTGTGTGTGTGTCTGTGTGTGTCTGCGTGTGTGTGTCTGTGTGTGACTGTGTGTGTGGCTGTGTGTGTGTGTCTGCGTGTGTGGCTGTGTGTGTGTGTGTGGCTGTGTGTGTGTGGCTGTGTGTGTCTGTGTGTGTGTGTGGCTTCGTGTGCGCTCCCTCTAGAAATTCTCTCGCGATGCAATCTCGCTCAGCCACCACGACGATCCCCTCCCTCCTGCTGCTGCTGGTCTCGCTGACGCTCATGGCCAGCGAGATGGCAGAGGTTCGGGGTAAGTCGATCCGTCAAATCCGATGTGAGTGGGGGGTGGTGGAAATTTTATTTTTTTAAAATATTCCCCTACCCACCCTTCCCAGCGGAATTTTTCCGGGCTCCCCACGTGATCGAGAGGCGTTGTTTGCGTTGTGGTATTTATTAATCGGGGGTTTTCCCCTTTCTTTTTTCCTGGCAACAAACTGAAACTTTTTTTATTTACAAGGATTCATGTCGCTGCATTAACCACAATACCTGCAGTCAAAATGCAAAACACAAAAACAACACACACTATGCTATAATATCTGTGATGCATTGTCCTTGAAGCTGATTGGTCCACACCAAGGGACGGCTTTCTTTTGAGCCTCGACCCAATTGGTGCTCGACCACGTGACGCGAAAAGACCAATCAGTTTCAAGGACAATGCATCATCATAAATTATCATAGTGTGTGTTGTTTTTGTGTTTTGCATTTTGACTGCAGGTATTGTGGTTAATGCAGTAGGCATGAATCCTTGCAAAAATAAAGGTTTCAGGTTTGTTGCCAGAAAAAAGGGGGAAAACCCCGATTATTATTATTATTACATTTTGGTACTGGCAAAAGGAGGTCTAATGATGTAGAATTCAATTTTGATTTAAAGCTTTCGTGACTGCAGTAATTCATATTCTTAGTTCTTTCGGTAAAGTCACGTTGAAGAGAAACAACAAAATAACAAAATATATATAAAACAATAAAAAATTCTCACGACGTTTCGACCATAACTCAAACGGTCATCATCAGGTGTGTCGGTTTGCATAAATTTATTTTGAAAACGGCATATTTATTTATATATATAAAAATAACGTTTGCGTCACGCGCAACGATGGCAGTTTGCCAGGACTAGTCCATCTATTTTTTGAAAAGAGGAGGGGGGAGACGAAATTTGTTTTTATGTAAGCTGTCTGAAAGGCACTGTAAGCGTGAACAATCAATCAAGAACTGAAATGATTTATCAAATCTTTCCAATGATTGCTAAGATAGAATCCATCTTCTCGGTTGAAATTGTCTCTGTGTTTGTATATGTGGATAGCCTCATGAACGAATCTCTCATGGAAGCCAGATGGCTTACAAAGAACCTCCGTCTTGGAAAAGTCAATGGCATGTGAGCCTACTGAATTAGAACAATGATCTGCTACGGCCGAGGTGTTGGTCCTACCGTGTTTAAGGTCTGCTTTATGTTCACGAATGCGGTCCGAGATATGGCGTTTGGTTTCTCCAATGTAACTACTACCACAGAGGCAACTTAGTTTGTAGACACCAGGGTATTGTATGTCCGGAATCACATCTTTTACAGACGGAACCAGATCACGGATTTTATGTAATGTGTTGAAACGGACCTGGATCTTGTGTTTATTCAAGATTTTGGAGATCTTTTTTGTGATCCCAGCAATGTAGGGTAAAGTGATGGTTTTGAAAGGCTCCTCAAGAGGGTTCTTCTTCATGGTTTGAGTGATAGCTTTGCGGATTGTATAGTCGGAGTAACCATTAGCCCTAAGAGCTTGGTGTACGTGCTTGAGTTCACTGCTTATGTGTTCCTGGTCGGATATGCATTGGGCTCTATGATACAGAGTCTTGATGAGAGAATTCTTCTGTGATGGATGGTGGTGGGAATCCGGTTTCAGATAAGCATCCGTATGGGTAGCTTTCCTGTAGACAGAGTGGCTCATTGAACCATCAGGTCTCTTTTTAATTAGGACATCCAAAAAAGGTATCTTGCCATCTATTTCGACTTCCATGGTAAATCTGATGGCTGGGTGTATGGAATTGATGTGGTCGAAGAATTTGTCTAGAGCAGGCCGGCCATGTGGCCAGATGACAAAAGTGTCATCCACGTACCTCTTCCATAAGGTTGGGCGCAGAGTGGCAGTCTGGATGGCGTCAGTCTCAAATTTCTCCATGAAAATGTTAGCTATAACTGGAGAAAGGGGGGAGCCCATTGGGGTGCCCTCAGTTTGTTTGTAGAAAGTTCCATTCCAAGTGAAGTATGTATTGGTTAAACAGTGTCTCACCAGGGGGGGTACCTCAGTGTTTAGTCCTTGATGAACCAAGTCTTCAATGATTGCAATGGTGTCAGGTACAGGAACCTTGGTGAATAAGGAAACTACATCAAAACTGACAAGCAGGTCGTCTGGGGACAGGGAAATACCCTTGATTGTTGATACCAGGTGAGTAGAATTTTGTACCGCAGAGGTGGTCTTTCCAGTGAAAGGACGCAGGATTTCAGACAAAAAACGAGCTAGTTTGTAGGTGGGGGAGCTGATAGTAGAGACTATGGGACGAAGAGGTGTATCAACTTTATGTATTTTTGGTAAGCCGTATAATCTTGGTGGCCTGGCAGCAGAAGGTTTCAACGAAAACTGTTTAGATTGATCAATTAATGTGGTTGAATCAGAAATTATTTTGTTGGTTTGTGTGACGAGGCTGTTGGTGGGATCTCTTTTTATTTTTGTATAACTACCATCGTCGAGTAATTCTTTAATTTTGTTGTTGTATTCTATTTTATCCATGATAACAGTAGCATTGCCTTTGTCAGCTGAGAGAACTACAATATCATTCCTCTTTTTTAATTTATATAATTCAAAACGCTCATCTTTGCTGAGGTTGCTAGCTGGCATCTTAGCGTTTTTGAGGGTTGCAGCGATTTCAGATCTTGCTACGTCTGCAGCGATGTGACCCAGGCCCCTGAGAGCAACGTCTACTTGGGCAATTATATCATTAACTGGTATGTGTTTAGGTGTGACTGCAAAGTTTAGACCTTTAGCTAAAACGGATTTCAGACCATCGGAAATAGAACTGTTACTGCGATTAATTACGACTTTATTAACGTCTAACTTTTTGGTGTGTGGGTCCGGTCTTTTGTTTAAGAGGAGGTTAAATTTGGAAATCAGGTTTTCCTTACATTTGGTCGACATCGTAGCAGCTGAAGAGGCAGTCATATAGTCTACATGTTCCCAATCCGATGTGGACATTATTGCCGTCAATGATAAGTGTGATTTGTAGAGTGTCTTGTCTAACTGATCTAGTTCTGTGCGTATAAGTCTGATTTTTTCTGAGATAAGAGCTAAGCTACTGTAACTTCTTCTAATGCGAAACGAATTCTTTTCAAAACTAGCTTAGCTCTTATCTCAGAAAAAATCAGACTTATACGCACAGAACTAGATCAGTTAGACAAGACACTCTACAAATCACACTTATCTTTGACGGCAATAATGTCCACATCGGATTGGGAACATGTAGACTATATGACTGCCTCTTCAGCTGCTACGATGTCGACCAAATGTAAGGAAAACCTGATTTCCAAATTTAACCTCCTCTTAAACAAAAGACCGGACCCACACACCAAAAAGTTAGACGTTAATAAAGTCGTAATTAATCGCAGTAACAGTTCTATTTCCGATGGTCTGAAATCCGTTTTAGCTAAAGGTCTAAACTTTGCAGTCACACCTAAACACATACCAGTTAATGATATAATTGCCCAAGTAGACGTTGCTCTCAGGGGCCTGGGTCACATCGCTGCAGACGTAGCAAGATCTGAAATCGCTGCAACCCTCAAAAACGCTAAGATGCCAGCTAGCAACCTCAGCAAAGATGAGCGTTTTGAATTATATAAATTAAAAAAGAGGAATGATATTGTAGTTCTCTCAGCTGACAAAGGCAATGCTACTGTTATCATGGATAAAATAGAATACAACAACAAAATTAAAGAATTACTCGACGATGGTAGTTATACAAAAATAAAAAGAGATCCCACCAACAGCCTCGTCACACAAACCAACAAAATAATTTCTGATTCAACCACATTAATTGATCAATCTAAACAGTTTTCGTTGAAACCTTCTGCTGCCAGGCCACCAAGATTATACGGCTTACCAAAAATACATAAAGTTGATACACCTCTTCGTCCCATAGTCTCTACTATCAGCTCCCCCACCTACAAACTAGCTCGTTTTTTGTCTGAAATCCTGCGTCCTTTCACTGGAAAGACCACCTCTGCGGTACAAAATTCTACTCACCTGGTATCAACAATCAAGGGTATTTCCCTGTCCCCAGACGACCTGCTTGTCAGTTTTGATGTAGTTTCCTTATTCACCAAGGTTCCTGTACCTGACACCATTGCAATCATTGAAGACTTGGTTCATCAAGGACTAAACACTGAGGTACCCCCCCTGGTGAGACACTGTTTAACCAATACATACTTCACTTGGAATGGAACTTTCTACAAACAAACTGAGGGCACCCCAATGGGCTCCCCCCTTTCTCCAGTTATAGCTAACATTTTCATGGAGAAATTTGAGACTGACGCCATCCAGACTGCCACTCTGCGCCCAACCTTATGGAAGAGGTACGTGGATGACACTTTTGTCATCTGGCCACATGGCCGGCCTGCTCTAGACAAATTCTTCGACCACATCAATTCCATACACCCAGCCATCAGATTTACCATGGAAGTCGAAATAGATGGCAAGATACCTTTTTTGGATGTCCTAATTAAAAAGAGACCTGATGGTTCAATGAGCCACTCTGTCTACAGGAAAGCTACCCATACGGATGCTTATCTGAAACCGGATTCCCACCACCATCCATCACAGAAGAATTCTCTCATCAAGACTCTGTATCATAGAGCCCAATGCATATCCGACCAGGAACACATAAGCAGTGAACTCAAGCACGTACACCAAGCTCTTAGGGCTAATGGTTACTCCGACTATACAATCCGCAAAGCTATCACTCAAACCATGAAGAAGAACCCTCTTGAGGAGCCTTTCAAAACCATCACTTTACCCTACATTGCTGGGATCACAAAAAAGATCTCCAAAATCTTGAATAAACACAAGATCCAGGTCCGTTTCAACACATTACATAAAATCCGTGATCTGGTTCCGTCTGTAAAAGATGTGATTCCGGACATACAATACCCTGGTGTCTACAAACTAAGTTGCCTCTGTGGTAGTAGTTACATTGGAGAAACCAAACGCCATA